TTTTTTTTTTTTTTTTTAAATCTTTGTCTGTGCTCTTCTTTAGTGTTTCAGTTAAAAAAAAATTTTTGGTCAATTCATGGGTTCTCACTACTAGATTTGTTCGCAGAGGTTCTTTGTTTAATCTTAACTATTTCTAAGACGACTAGACTTCTTTTGTCTATATGTAGAAAATGTGGAAAACAAGAAAATTAGATAGATACAAACAATTAAAATGTAAGTTTAAACACGGTAAGTGAATCCAGAAAGGAATTCATGAATGCATTTTCTTTCAGGTTGGCTTCAACTAAAGCTTGTAGAGAAAGCAAATGAACAGAGGGCATTGGTTGCTTCTGAAGTTAGGGATAGTACGGAATAAACTGGTTTTGTTAGTCCTGCAAACTGAGAAGCTCGAAGGACACGAACAAATAGAATGCAACAAGGAACAGAACAGACATTCTTGCTGTGGTAGTATCCGAAAACAGAATATAACATTGGGTCTGGTTACCCGGGAGCATGCCTGTGTATTAATAATATTTATCATTTTTGTTGGTCATTTTCTTTTGTTCCTCTTCTGTCTTTTGTTCATTTATAACCGATTTTAATAAGGGAAAATATTATGTTGTTATGTACATTTATCTGAATACTTTGACTCCAAAATTTGAGGCTCGAAATTTTGATTTAAACAGAGCATTACCAATCCTAATTTGTCAATTTTATGATGGGTTTAGATCTGTTTCTATTATGTCAAAAAGAATGATGTTATTTGGAATGATTCAATAAGTAATTTTGTGAATTACAATGGAATTTCAGGGTATGTTATTTCTGCAAACTTATGTGTCGCTCGTTGGTTCGTACGAATTGGCTCGTCATCTAGGAGTAAAATTTGTACTTTAAGTTAGAAACAAGAGCCTCGAGTGGCTCGCTAGTTGGCTCGCCCCACTTTGAAAACAAGGTAGCTAACATTCGGTTCAACCTAACCTATAGGCTAGTACAAGCTAACTCGCATGGTAAGGTGAGTCAAGAGGTTCATATTCTGTCAATTGAACATCTTGGATGGACGTATCCCATAATTGAGATAAAAATGATAGTGCAATGACTAATTAGAAATAAAATGAAGTTATATGAAATTAAATACAAAATGAGCTACCTTCTTAAGAATATATACAATTTTCAACGAAACAAATTTTCTTGCTCTCTAAAGGTACGCCACTTTTCAATATAGGCTGCTTGATCAGGATGAAGGCTTGGTGTTCTATGCTGCTGAAGAATTTGAAGAATTTCTTGACTTTCACCCAGCAGGAGAGCTGCTTGCCGGACTGTTTTCGCCCCGTGGTTTATGGCATTCCGGTGACACTTGATCATTATAACACGTGGTAAGTTGGTAAGACAAGCTGCGAGTATATCTGCGATCATGACCGTCAATCGTTTGAACAGTCCCTCATCTGTCAAGGGAGGATCATCTTCAAAGTCGAGCAAAATAGTTTGACAGATCCTGTACATCGAGTTGGCTGCTATAACCTTAACTGGCCAATTAAGAGGATCCTCCATAAGAAAATCTTTCGTATCTCTCTTGAACTCCAAAACAATCTTCTCGGCTTTATTAGAGAGCTCTTGTAGTGTTTCCTTCGACTTTTTTCCTTTGAGGGACATTTCTTTGAGATCATTTTCTTGCCATTTGCTATAAAGTTCGGCTCCCACCCAGACAACGTTGGCTGCATTTCTGATGTTTGCTAAATCACGACTGCAGTCAAGGCACTTCTCGATAAATTTTATGAAGAACAGACCTTCATTCACGCTGCTTAGTAACCAGCTAGCGTTGTGAGTCGAGACGTTGGGAAGTGCAATGGCAATACTTGTTAGCGTCACCAGAGGCAGAGACCAGCAATTAGGAGGTTCGTGAATATGCAGACTTGGAACTTTGTTGCTGTCAAATTCTCTCACCCCATGAAAATCGCCAAATAATTTAAGAAGCTCTATGAGTTTTTTAGGTTGCTGCCTTTTACCTATTTGGATCACTTTATCCACCTGATTGCAGATGTTTTGCAGGGTCTTGTGAGGCAACTGTACCTCACCTTCTAGTAGCAGAACGTAACGGCTAAGTTCCGGCTCTGTATTCAATCCTAATTCTGAATCCTGATGGACACGTGATGCACTAGAGCAGGACACATTCTTCAACTTTTCGACATTGTGGAAGCACGAGATGATTGGACTCATGAAGAGCACGGAGATAAGTCGAACAAGTTTGCAGCCTAGAACAACCAGTATCTGAATTCTAACAAAGAAACTCAATATTGACTTTTTTGTATGGTGAAGAAGTTTTCTCCACTTAGGATCACGAATGTGCCAAGGTAAGGGGCTTTCTTTCCACTCAAAGAGCATCTGTGTCCAATATGTCTCGATTTTGAGTTCATCTTTGAAGGAGATTCGTTTCTCTTCTTCTGAGCATCTGAAATTTATGGCAGTATACCATCTCAATGCTGGGGCAATAATACCCAGAGTCACTCCAATAGAATGAATGAGCAGAATCCATTTGGTTGACGAGTCATAGTAAGAAGCCGTTTGCCTAAATGTTCTATACACTATTAGCATACGAAGCAGAGCTTCTGCCAAAGCGAGAGCAATCAGCAAACAGATCACACCTGAAGCAGTACACGTTGCAGAACGCGCAATCACAAACTGAGGACAGCTAGTTTCTGCCATCACCCAATATTTCTTAACCATTGCTCTCAACTGATCAACTGTAAGTTTTTTCATCTCCATTAGTTCTTCATCAGAAGTCATTTTAAGCATTTCTCGGTATTTGGATTTAAGATATTTTTTTGTGGTTGGGATCATAATAGCCGAAGAAACCAACATTACAAGCTGAAGAAACATGAAAATCAATGCAACTATTTCCTCGACAAACATTATTCGGCGATGAAGAAAACCACGCATTTGGACAATTTGAATGCAGACATTCACAATCACAGTAAGTAC